AAGGAGGGGATGCAGAGGAAATACCGCCTGGGAGACGGGTTGTTGACTACCACGGACTTTGAAGCGATGAACAAAGAGGATTTTACGACTATAGGGGCCTTTGTTCAAGAATTTAAGAAGAGGGCGCGGAAGGTCCATGGGATTTCGGAGGAAGCACAGTGCGCCATCTTCCTAGGGCTACTCACAGCATCGGAGGCCGTCGAATTGACGAGACATGGAGGAGGTAGCACTAAGCTCACCTGGGCCACCATTGACAGAGGGGTGGAAGTTGGGTGTTTGGACCAGGTCGAACAACGTCAGGTACGCCTGCAAAGACAAAAAAGAAAGGAAAGAGATGCGACCGCTTCTGGGACCCCAGGAGTAACAAGGATTGTTACAGACGTATTGGCACAGCTAGGGTATGCGACAGAGCCGGTGGTGCAAAGGAGGGTGGTGACGGCTGTTAAAGTAAAAGGAAAAGAGTCAGTGATAGAGGAGGCTGGTCAGGAGGAGCTCTGGAAAGAGGAAGAGCCCGTGCCGCAGCACCTGACGAAGGTCCAGCGCAAAGTGCGTAATTTGGCGCAGGGCGGACAGAGATCAGGAAAAGCGCAGGCGCATCAGGCCCAGGTAGCAGCCCCTTTAAATGTGGCGGCTCCATCACCTACTACGGGCCCCTCGCAAGGTGGGGCGCCCTCCTACGGACAGTGGCCCTGGCCGGTGATCAACGCAATTGTGCCATGGGGAAGCACGCCGCCAGTAGCCGGACCACAAACGAGTATGCCACCACCCATCTACCCCGCGGCCCAGGCCCAACCTGTGGCCCCGCCACCGTCACCTGATCCCAGTTCACAGGGCAGTGTTGTAGGAGGTGGGAACCAGGGGCAGGGCAATCAAGGCAGTGAAGGGAGGGGTGGAGAAAAGGGGCGAGGCAGGAATGGCGGCGGAAGAGGAAGGCAATGGAATGGCCAGGACCAGGGGTACCAAGGCCAAGGGAGTCAAGGCCAGGGGTACCAAGGCCAGGGCTATCAAGGCCGAGGGGATCAGGGAAGTCAGGGGTATGGAAGACCCCGCTTTGACTGGAGGACGGCCATCTGTCAACATTGTGACCAGCATGACCACACTATAAGGTTCTATAATATAAGACAGGAAGACGAGATAAGCGGACTGATTTCCTTTACTATGGATGGGAATATCTACGATCAGTTTGGGGAGGCCATTGACAGAAGGCTTGGAAGAGTGAGGGTTGAGGCCCAACGAAGAGCGGCAGCTGGGCCACCACCCCCTGCCATGTTCAGGCTATAGCAGGAAAAGGAGAAACCACCGTTTGGGGTGGAAGAAGTGGGGAGCGATGAGGAAGTGACTCAAGGGCTGCGAGGAGAAAGTGAGACGGAAGAGGCCATAATCATTGAGTCAAATAACGGGAATGAGGAGGAAAGAACGGAGCCTCTGTCCGTCTTATTTGAGAAGATGGAGGACTTGTTGGATAAGATGGGGAGGTACCAACAGGAGTTGGTAGGCCTCTGTGAAGGAGTGAAAGGATGAAAGTTTAATGTCCCCACAGTATTCCTCTATGACTCCTGCCCGGAGTCAGCGCCTGGGCAACTCGGAGTAAATGTGGTGGGGTCGTGCCCTAAACCAGGAATGAGGGGTAGACCCCTCACTCCGAAGGCCCGGCTGACACAGGCAGCGCGAACGAGAAATCAAGCCAAGGCCAGTACCAGCCAAGAGTCTCCAAGGGGGGAACACGAACCAGGGAGAAGGAAAGAGGCTGTGGAAGTAGAGGACGACGATGATGAAGAGGAAGAGGACGAGAGGCTGCGCAAAGAAGAGGATCAGAGAGCGGAGCAGCGGGCAAGGAAAAAG